TATAATGAAACAAATTTGAAGAAAAAAGTAGAACCCCGTGAGTATTACCTCATCGTTCTCATCGTAACCACTGACCGCATAGGGATAAATAACGTATTTGCCTAATCTTTTTAAAACACACACACACATTTTATACTGAAACAAATGTGAAGCAAAAAGTAGGACCGTCAGTATTATTACCTCATTGTTCTCGTATGAAACAAATGTGAAGCAAAAAGTAGGACTGTGAGTATTATACCTCATTGTTCTCGTATGAAACAAATGTGCAGCAAAAAGTAGGACTGTGAGTATTATTACCTCATTGTTCTCGTCGTAGCCACTGACGGCGTAAGGATACATGACGTATTTCCCGTTGTTGAAGGTGTCCGGGGCACATTCGTCCGTCTCTGCGTCGTGCTCTGCTCCCCAGTTATGACCTGCGTCAAACAAAACATTCCAGTTTAGTGAAGTTTTGGTGATGTTTTACATTACTTTCAACTCAAATAGATTAACTTAGTTTTAGGAAGAGTTTTACGGCACGTGCAACACCATAAAGTCATATAAGTGCGGGTGGTCAGAGGTGTTACAAGAGAGTAACATACAAAGAAAAGAAGGACGAGAGATAATCATGAATAGACGTTTAATGGGAATGAAGGAACGGTCAGACAAGAAATTTAAAGAATACTCGAGAAAAATGTCTCACACACACTCACACACGCCCATCCCCACACACATATTCGCACACTCTTATACACAATCTTCATAGACATGTAAATTTCCAAAAAAGAAAGACATAGCAACAGGTATAGCGCCCCACTTTCATAACTGCCCACCCCTCTCTGTGGCTATCAGGGACAGCCTTGCTCAAAATCAGGGACATTGACTAATTATCAGGGACACCTTGTATTTGTCAAGAAAAATTTGCTGCCTTTTCGGTTTCTTTGCTTTACTTGGTCCAGAGTCGGACTTACAACTCATCGCCAAACGTTTTGATGCCATCTTTTCAAACGAATGAAGAAGCCGAGAACTGCGCATGCGTATCAGCTGACTTTGTCGAAACTGCACTCCTGCCAGCTCTCCCGAATTTTTTGGGAATCTCCCGAATTTTTCGCCCGAATTTTCGTCATTTTCCCGAGCAACATAAGGCTAATTTTTCTGTTTTAGAAGTACGCTTGCCAAGTTTTTATTTTCCGGAACCGTCGGTCAAAATCAGCATTTCCGGGACGACAGCGATTTTTCAAGAAAATCCGTACAAAATACGGATGGCCCGGGACAGTGGGCAGCTATGCACTTTTCACCCTCACTTCCTTCCAGTGTCCTTTCTCAACCTCTGCAAACCCGAAAACCCCAACAAAGATATCGGCCATTTTGTTAGGGAAGTTACGATAATATGCACATGAACACTTCCAGTATTATCACCAGACTTTTATCTACACAGTCGTACAATGCTGGAGAAGGACACATCATGACGAGTAACTCACCAAATTCTGTTCCGTGAAGACCCCGGACAAGCAGACATGAGGAAAAGAAAAACAAAACTTAATACAGCGAAATACAAAACAAATGTGAAGCAGCGTGATGAAATTAGGCTCTCGTAAAAATAACGAAATTTGAGAAACAGGCATTTTCCGCTAGTTTAAAAATGTTTATCTAATTTTGGGGGGGCTTAACCTCTTTTATCTGCCATGTGAGTTTTACTGAAAAACATTGATTTAAGGCACAAAAAATGTCATTTTTCAGTTTTCAAAGACTCTTTAGCTATTGGAGTTACCCAACTTTGATGGCCATTTTCTCATTAATTTCACTACTGAAAGAAGACGACATCACAGACGCTACACACCTAGCATAGGACAGAAACTATGCTTTCTTTCAGGAAAAAGTAATAAGTAAAAGTAATAGTAAAAGGGAAGGTTTGCCGCCACTCACCATGGGCAGTAACTAGGGTGGCCTCCTGTGTGAGTAAGTTGCCTCCCCTTGTGTTCATGGTGGAGCTGAAGCCAGTGTTCATAGCACGCACTCTGGACGCTCGTCCTGGAACAAAGAAATGTGAGGAAGGAGATGCTTAAGAGAAATGGGAGGAAGGAGATGCTTAAGAAAAATGGGAGGAAGGGGATGCTTAAGAGAAATGGGAGGAAGGAGATGCTTAAGAGAAATGGGAGGAAGGGGATGCTTAAGAGAAATGGGAGGGGATGGGGGAGACGCTTACTGCACTAGATCACATTCCTTCGCTCATTGTACATGATCGTAAATGATTGAATGTGAGTGTTGTACACAATTATTGTACATGACTGCATAAGACTGAAAATGATTGTACATGATTGTAACTGATTGTAACAGATTGTACATCATTGTACATGACTGCATATGACTGAAAATGATTGTACATGATTGTAAATGATTGTAACTGATTGTACATGACTGCAACCCCACTGTGGCACTTATGGTGACCCACATGTAACACACTGGCTCAAGACGTCAGAAATAAAAGTTGGGAGACCATAACTGCCCACTTGTTGGGAAGGAGACCATAACTGCCCACTTGTTGGGAAGGAGACCATAACTGCCCACTTGTTGGGAAGGAGACCATAACTGCCCACTTGTTGGGAAGGAAACCATAACTCCCCACTTGTTGGGAAGGAAACCATAACTGCCCACTTGTTGGGAAGGAAACCATAACTGCTCACTTGTTGGGAAGGAAACCATAACTGCCCACTTGTTGGGAAGGAAACCATAACTGCCCACATGTTGGGAAGGAGTCAGTAACTGCCCACTTGTTGGGAAGGAGTCAGTAACTGCCCACTTTCCTTTAACCCAGTGCTTGTCAACCTTTTTACAATCAGCGCCAACTTTTGTAGTTTATAAATGAACAAAATGTTTATACCACCCATCTAATTGTATTTTCAAGCGAGGCATTAAATAATGATGAAGAAGATTTTTTTTTTCTTTCCTTAATGGGCTTGGTGGACTCCATGAAGAAATCTCCGAGCGAAAGCGAGGCTCTTTTTCGGCTCCATGGTCATTATACTCAGAGGTACCTCCACTCGTCCAAATAACTCCATTCGAATTGCCATTGTTCCTGGACATTCAAAGATATGTTTGACGCCCTCCTTTTCATGGCGCATCTTCAGCAACGTATGTTGAGCTCTTCATTCACAAAGTTCAGATACCATCTCATGCTCCAATGATGGTCCGATCGCAGTCTCGCGAGCTCAACCTGGTCCCAGCGACATGTGATAAATTGTTTCTGCTTATTGGAGTACCCAGAATACACAAGCAGAGCTGAGTATCAGCACCTGGAGGATGATGACGACGACGATGATGATGATGACGTGGAGAGAGAATTCTACTTACGAGAACAAATTCCGCCGAGAGCGTGTTTCCGTGGCGAGGCGATGTAAGCCAGGCCCAGGACTCCGTCGGCAAACCTTCGGTGCGTGAAGAGATGCGCCAGGCAGTGCTTGTCCAACGCAGGGTCGTAGCCAAACTGCTGCTCTCGCCAGGTCCGGAGGTGAGGAGAAAGAAGAAATTCATTTTTTTTAAATGTGTCACGACGTTGTGGAATCAGGCGCTTGTCAATTTTTGGGCATGTGGATTTATTTGTATCATCTTAAAGCTTGTTCATTTGCCTTGCATTTGATGGAAAAAAATATTCATTTATCTTGAATAGAAGTCGAGATATTTGCGATAGAAGGAGGCGGGTGGCCCGGTTTCAGAAGTATAATTAACGAGAAAATGGCAGCCAAAGGAGGAGGAGGAGGAGGAGGAGGGGG